CCCCGCCGCCGCCACCGCCACCGGCAGGGCCCCTCCTGCATCCCCCGGCCGCCCAGAGCAGGCGAGGGCTGCCCGGGGGGCTTCCACACCCCAGCCCAGCCTGCCCTTTCTAAAAAGCAAAAGACCAAAGCCAGGCAGATAAGATGAAACTCATTCCTTCCCCCACCTTTCTCTCCTTTTTTCTTTTCTTTGTACAGTATGGTAATTTTTGCCTTGGTGCCTCACTCGCAAACCACCTCAAACGCCACACATTGGTCCCAGTAGATAGACTCTCGCAAGGTATCACTAGAAATCAGGGCACGAAACCACCATTCCCTGCCTTTATCGGTAACTTTCGAGCCTTCTCGATTCTGCTGCAACACATGAACAACCTCCTAAAAATGATGCCTGCGCAGTTAAAATGGCTCCTGTGTCACTTACCACCCTGAGCTTGCAGCAGAGCAGGGCAGGGATCCTTTTGGATTGTGCCCCCAGGTTTCTGATCGCCTATCTCATCAGGAAAGATGGCTCTGGGAACCTACGGAGCTTCATTTTCTTCACCGTTCAAACAACTCCTTACGCCTTAGACAGAATCCTTCACCTTCCTTTCGATGCAGCAAGCCTAGCATCAATTAAATTTTGGCGCAGGAGCCAACCGGTTTCAACTCATTCAAGTTCAAAGACATGGCGACGATTTGTTAATACGAAAACAGCCCTTTTAGGAAACAGTCCCTTAAAAAGCGATCTAATTTGGGGAATGTGAGTCTAATATCTTAGCAGGGACTCCGCTGGAATAAGGCAGAGCTGGGGGTCCCCGCCTGCCAAAGCATTTTCACCCTGGGGTCCGTTCCCAGCCCAGCTCTGAGCATTCCATATCCTCCCCCTGCCTTTTTTTTTTTTTTTTTTTTTTTTGCCTTACGCAGATTAAATAGCATCGAAACATAAAAGCACATCATGTAGACAGTCAGGCGAATACTTTACCGTTAGGCGTCTTGAAACATCTGCAACCGTTGCCTGGAATTACCAAGTATTCAGGTCCAAGTGACATTTCCAAAAGCCCTCCGTGGAAATCAAGGCGACTTGCATATCATTCGGGTTTAAAAATATGCCCAGTCCGGCTGGAGAAGATGCGGTATTTTTGCGCCACCCAAGATAAGACACTAACTTGACCTTAACTTTGTTATGGCGCCCCTAGTATCTGGAGAACGTGAACAGACACTGTCTGGCAGCTCTCGTAAAAACCGACTGGAGAAGAGATTCTGAGTCATTTCATTTATTGCCACTACAGTTCTGCAAGAAAGCTTTTCCTCCCTGCCAAACTTTAATTATTTATGCTCTTTTAGGAAGCACAAAGGCATCCAGAGCCATTCCCAACGAGCCGAGTTGCGTTTGCAGCCTTATCAAACGAGGAGGAATGGAGAGCCCCCTCGGAAGGGCTTTATCACGTTTAGGCTGCGGTCGGAATGCAAGGATGTTTATGTTGGAGTAAATAAAGGGATGGATGGTCGCCTTGCACGCTGCGGGGGGACGCGGGCGTGGGCGCAGCAAGCG